ATATTCAACAAAACTATAGAAGAAAATTTCCCCAAATTAAAGAAAGACATGCCCATAGAAATATATGAAGCACATAGAACACCAAATAGACAGGACCAGAAAAGAAACTCTCCATGGCACATCATAGTAAAAACACTAAACGTTCAGAACAAAGAGACAATTCTGAAAGCTGCAAAAGAAAAACAACAAATCACATATAAAGTAAAATCCATCAGGATTGCAGCTGACTTTTCAGTGCAAACTATGAAACCCAGAAGGGCCTGGACCACAGTATTCCCACCTCTAAGTGACCACAGATGCCAACCCAGATTACTTTACCCAGCCAAAATGTCTATCATAGTCAAAGGGGAAAGAAAAATCTTCCATGATATAAATAGGCTGAAATAATATATGTCCACAAAACCAGCCTGTCAGAGAGTTCTTGAAGCAATACAAAGAGCTGAGGAAGAGAATGACTACACCCAAGGGGTTGCAGAAAGTATTTTAATGAAGGTATAACTGTGGAAAAGCACAGCTGCATCAAGAATGTGAACCAAAACAAAAATAACAGAATTCAATACACATCTTTCATTAATAACTTTAAGTATCAATGGACTGAACTCCCCAGTCAAAAGACACGGAGTAGGTGAATGGATTTATAAACAAAACCCATCTTTTTGTTGTCTGGAAGAAAGTCATCTTACTTTCAAGGACAAGTGCTACCTTAAGATGAAAGGATGGAAAAAAATATACCAAGCGAATGGTAATAGGAAAAAAGGAGGTGTTACAATTCTAATATCTGACAAAATAGACTTTAAACCAAAACTAATCAGAACAGACAAAAAGGGCCACTTCATTTTGATTAAAGGAACAATGAATCAAGAAGATATGACAATCATGAGCATATTCACCAAACTCTGGTGCACCCAACTTCATAAAAACAATACTACAGGACTTTAAGATCCAGATTAACCCCAACTCATTAATAGCAGGGGACTTCAATACCCCACTGTCTCCAATAGATAGGTCACCAGGACAGAGAGTTAACAGAGAGACATCTGAATTAAACAAGACCATATATCAAATGGACTTAACAGATATCGACCGGGTATTCCACCCAAGCACCAAAGGACATAGTTTTTACTCAACACCCCATGGAACCTTCTCCAAAATCGACCATATAATGGGGCACAAAACAAACCTCAACAAATACAAAAAGACTGAAAGAATTCCATGCATTCTATCAGACCACAATGCAATAAAGCTTACAATCAACACCCGAAGAAGCCTTAATCACCACATGAACACATGGAGATTAAATAACACACTCCTGAATGATGAATGGGTCAAAAGAGAAATTAAGAAAGAAATAAAAGTAAAATGAAAAGGACAATACAACATGACAAAACCTCTGGGACACGCTCAAATCGGTCCTTAGAGGGAAGTTTATAGCTCTAAGTGCCTACATCAAAAAATCAGAAAGAACACAAATAAAT